TTTACGAAATAACGTAATTATTTGTCTAACTGGAAAAAAAGCGATCAAGACATGACCGTAGCTAAAGAGGGAAACAAGCTATGGCTCGAAAGATTGTTATTGGTAGACTAACTCGAAATTCCAGTGATGTATTCCCTTCGTCAAGCCCATGGTTTGCGACCCGTCAAATTTTTCTCTGTGGGTTGAAATAGTGTTCAAATGGGTGACTTTCTAATGGATTACCGTCTTTTGACAGGCTTTGAAAAAGGAGAAAAGACTAAAAGCTTCTCCTACGAGGTTTTCGTCTTTCCTCCTTCGTCGAAGCCTGCGAAAGACGAAACCCTTATTAAAGGTTCTCGTATTTTTTTTTGATTAATCAGATCTGTTTGGTGTAGAGATGAAGAATTCATTGAGGAGAAAACACAGAATAGGGTAGTACTATAAGTTGCTGGAAATGAAGTTACCCTTCGCCTGTAAAACTGACAGCTGGAGCGCAGAAAGAGAAAAAAGGGTTTCGAAGGTCCATAATGGGGCTTTGAAACTTTTCTTAGCCAGGGAAACTTAGGTTTCCACCTAGACCCTTTACCACAAACCACCGGAAAGAGCAACGAATGGGTGGATACTCTTTGCTAGCACGTACCGCCGCCTTACCTTTTGGATAGAAATGAATCAATGAATGAGTGTTCAATTCCTCCGCATCCCAGCTCTTCATGAGGTAATCATCTCCTCCATCCTGGTGCTCCTCATCTTCTTCGGCTTAGGCATAGAGGAGCTTAACCCTGGGTACGAGACGTCAGTGAGCCCAATTACAGGCTCGCAAAGCCGCTCACTACCCCCTGTCTGCGCTTCAGCGTTCAGGTCTAGAGACGAAGGGTTTGTTTCTCAACTATAACTCAAAGTTATGAAAACATTGTAGCTGATTTTGGAGGAATCATATGCTATGGAGAAAGTTCTCTTACCTCCGTGGGAGGCTTCGGGCCAAGGGAGATCGCATGCTGATCGGCTACAGCCAAGATCATTTTTGTGCTAGAAGGAAGATCCTGAAATGAGCACGCTAATGATAAACTGTTGGGCGTTTCTTTCTCCACTATGATCACATGAATACTAAATGCATTATCGTTTTATTAGAATTTTCATTGAAAACCTACTTTTTGGAGTTTTGTCCATGGTTCGATAAAGCCAAAGTAGTTCCCAAGATGGGGAACACCAGTTGGTTGGATACCTGAGAAATACAGTTCGGGATGATGGCAAACGTCATTGCAGAAATGGCGAGCCGGCTGCCGCCACATCTGCAAAGCACACTTGAGACGTTATGAAAAGAGAAGGCAACTGAGAGACGAAAGCCCTGGGAATCGTTACTTCGGCACATTATAGGCTCAAAGAAGCTCTACTACAACTAAACATCAGTTGGAGTGAAACTGAGCCCACTTCAGAGGAAACGAAGAAAGTACAGCGGTTTCCAAAAAACTCCACGAAGTGTTCAGAGTAAGAGGACCCCGAACTAAAGTGAAAGTCATTGAAGGAAAGGTATGGAACGTGCTTGTGGTATAGTTATTTAACCACTATCCAACAAGCACGCGTGATCCCGACTTGACGGTTAAGTGGCTGTGTGCGGACTCGGATAAAATCCTTGATAAATTACCGCCTCTGTTCGAGAAGCGTCTCATTTGGGCTTTGGTTATGATTCAATGCCAGAATCGAATACAAGGAAGAAAAATAGTGCTTTATGAGTAGATTAGCCTACAATTCAGTGTAAAAGCCTACATTGCTCCCACTGGGTGCTCCTACGATTCCGAATGGAACTCAAATAAGTGGTTACAACCCAAAGCAGGATGGACCACCGTCGATGGCTTTATTCTTCTCCACTGTGAGCATATCTAATGTTTCTGTCATCTAAGACTATGCGGGCACTAGTTGTAAGTAAAATGAGTCGAAAAAAAAAAGATAAAATGATACTGAGTTTAATGGCAACATCTCAGCGGTAACGCCAATCCACTCGATATTAATTGAACGAATGTGGAGATAATACTTTATTACTACCTTTTTTTGGGATGTCTGTACTGTTTGCCATTTAGTTTGAAATTCCTACATTGCTAGAGCACAGTTACTCGTAAAATTGCTGGCAGATTACTGTATAACATGTGTAATTATATAGCTACCTAGGTAAATATCATATTCCGAGCTTGCTCAAATGATTTGCTGCTGCGGCACAATAGTTCCTATTGGCCTTGGACGAGTCTCAAACTCTCATCTACGTTTTTCATGAGCTTCCTAAAGCAACTCAAACTCGAAATATCCTACGGTCGCATGACCCCAGGTAAACCCTCTACCTAAGACGAACGATAGGGACACGAACGATGTTTCTCCGACAGGTTAGGGTTTGTACTAGGGCAGTAATAAAAACATTGTTTATAGAGAAACTCTGGTGTTGCGATTAGGACGGAGTGAACTGAGATGGGAAATATGAACAATAAGCTCTTATGAATGGCATTTAAAGCAAATCTAATGAGGGTAAATACACACACATCACAAATTCAACAGAGGTACGACTTGAGATGGCTCGAACAAAGCCCTACAATGTGGACAGCGTGCTTCACCGTCTCCAGTCCATGCGTGCTCCTAAAAAGATGAATGACATTGAACACGACACCTTGACTTGAACAAGCGTTTCCCTCATACCTGTATGCAGGTCCAACAGAAAAGATGGCCACAAGACGTTGCTGAAGGTGATTTACTTTCCAAACAAACCGAACATTTGAACCAAGGGTGAGAGATCTGAAAAGGAACTCTGAGAAAAAAGTACGGCTTCGATTTTCGTAATCAGGTAAAGGCGAAAGAATTTAAGCGAGATGGTAAGAAGCTCGAGGTTTTTTGAAAAAGGAAGATCGCGTGCTTTAAATGACAGATGACAGCCGTCACCTGTATATCCCCATCCCGGTCATGCGCTGTACCTTCCTTCAAACAAAAAGAAGCCATATAGAACCAAAAGGGAGTGCACGGGAACCATATCCTTTCCAAAGATGAAGAAAAGGTGGTGAGATAGAAGAGAATAACAATTCGTTCACTACAAACTGTGTTCGATCCTGTTGGAACGCTCTGTGAGATGAAAGTGTTTACCCAACTGGTATCTGCATAGTCTTAAATTTATGGACTTACTGAGGCTTTCAACTAGAACAGTGACCCAGGTATTCTTCACCCGTTCTCAGGAAAATTGCTTTCATAGTCTAAGCTGTTCTGAAGCGAATTCAACTTAATGGCAATCATTATATAGTGAAAGTATGGTAGATGAGCAACTTAGGCATGGCTCGGAAAGTTTTGCCGGTCAGGTAAAGACCCCCACTCCGCGGTGTACGGCTAATTTAAGCTATTGAAACGAAGTTCCATCCATCGTAAGTTGAACAAATGTGCGATGAATAGGGGATTGCTAATACTGAACAAATACCATGCAAACCTTAATTTGCGACAATCTATTTACTTGTTTATTGATTTGCTTATTTTGTTATTTCGACAAAATTCCTGAATACTAAAAGTAAAAACTTGATGAAACCTACATCGCCCTCCTTCTCATCGTTGGAATTCTTCAAAGACGTCAGAGAATTCCTTTCCGCTCCCAGGGTAGACACTACCCATAGAATAAGGCTTAGTGCGGTCTGAGTGAGTGTCAAATAGCCAAGAAACTTGTACACTTTCAAAGCCTGAAACCGTCGATCCCTGCTGAGAAAGAAATCATTCAACGAATTGAAACGAAACCTTCAGATCGCTCTGAGGATTAAGGGACAAGTACTTGATACCAGAGACCCGGCGAGAGATATTGTAGTAGACTCCGAAGATATAGAAAAACGCCAAATGTATGCGATAGAGTTGAGGAATACCAACAGATCTGAAAATGCACCACGGAACTTTCAGGCCAACACGATTTATTCATTTATTTGTTAAATGCGCGAGCATATGTCAGTTGGAAATGATAAAATAATAATTAATGATTATTCAAAAGGGATCTATACCTCATCCATTCAACTAATGACTTGAAGCTCCTCCTGGCTGTTGGATTATTCCTGATTGGTACGCCAAGGAATGACGAAGTTGATGGATGAGCGAGAAGAATTTCTGCTTTCTTAATAAAACATGATAAGTATAAGTGATCATGATTGGGAAACTTCAAAAAAAATGATACGTTTAGCTCTAACAAGCCTTATCACAAAACCTGAAAGTTCTCATAAGTCTTGAAATCAAAAGCAAACCAGCAAAAAGCAAGGAAAAAATTT